GGGAAGGAGGTGACCGCTCTCAGCGGGACACAGGCATTGTCCGAAAATTTAGAACGGCGCCGCTGAACGGATGAAGGGGCGACGAGTAGAAAAAAATAGAAGAACGAGTAATATAAATGTTAATGTTCTGAGCTCGTGGTGAGGGACCTGGATCAAAGGTTTGCAGCAATTTACGCGATGCAAAGATCGAGAAAAATACTAGTAGTAGACTGGAAGAAGAAAGATGCAAGAAAATGGCACTGTGGGGTCATTTTTTCTTACGAACAGCAGGAATAGAAAATTTCGTACCAGCTATATATGTATATAAACTGCTGACTAAAATACGCTCACGATTGCACGCGCGTAGAAAACACTTGGAAAAAAAGATGAGACAGAAATGAGGAGAAAGAGAGGGTAGACTTTATGTAAGCTTCTTGCACGAGGTTGTAACCAACGTGGTAATAAATTTTGGAGCTGAAGGAGCGGCGTTTTCTCGCGTCGCAATCGCGAGATCCCCTCTCACCCTTCTATGTTAGCAACAAGGAGCAGCCGAGCCACAAAGAAAAATTTTTCAGGATGGGTGACGTGTCCTCACGGTCTTACGACCTTTTACCACTTCCACATATATCCTTAATTTTTTTTTTCCTACTTTGCAGTATTTATCAGCTGCACACGTGAATTAGTAATCTGTGTTTTACAGAATGTGTAAATATTAAATCTCGTAGATTATTGAGTGATAATTTAACGAATGATTATTATCTTTATTGCCATTCAGTATCAGGAGCATTAATCCTCGTGTTGTGGTTTATGAGAAGAAATTATGTATGAAGGATTAACAAGTCTGGGTATTGCATTGCAGAATTATGTACCAGAACGATGGAAATTCAAACGCGTTAGTTTCACTCGTACTGCACAATCTTCTTGCTTAATCCTATAACAATAGATGTCGACTAAGAGACTGAACAAACAGGGAGATTTGTTCGTTGACGACAGGGACCAACGTCATTTACCATTAACCTTGTGGTAGAGCTAGTGGATATTCAAACCTCCCTTATTCTCTCTTTCTTGTTGAATCTTAATGCTGATTTATCGCCAATCTGCTCACGCCATGCGGTAAAAGACTCAATCGAACTTGGCCCACTTCCAACTTCTACTATCTATTCTACTACTAACCAATCATAAATTAACATTGACCATACAACGAGTTGAGAACTAATTGTTGTTAATTTGTCTCCAGAGATCACAAAAACGATCATGAACTTTTTTGATAGTGGTTCGAGATGATGTGATACTTTTAATTAATTATCCTGTGGATGATCTTTGACAGATGGTTTGGAAAATTTTTTTCTCTCCACCATGACAATCAATAATAAATTCTTTTACTTGAAATAAATGTTTTATTCTACGATGAATTATAAAAATGATTAGAACAATTTAATTATAAATTTAATTGGTTTTAAATTACCTTGAGATGCATTAAACGGCTAGTTTTCAATCAAAATCCATCTAGGTATTCTCGAGATATCGTCGACAAAGTCTGAAGAACATTTATGTGGAGGTTTTATGCATGAAAAGATTCAACGAAAAATCCATTTTTTATTCTTCAACGTATTCTTTGTTCTTTTATTATGTTAAATAACAGCGCAAAATAAAATTTAACAAATTAGAAAGTTTTCGGCATTATAATTATTCATGATGCACTTGGAATGCTTTTGAAAATGTTGAATGATATCCCATGCTTCTCTTTCAGGAGTCTAGTTTGTCTACTAGCCCGGAGGTCGTGTCGGCGCATAAGCACGTCAGGAACACACACCTTCGAGGATACGGGTCGACGTAAATGTTCTAAATTGTAAACCAAGCGATGCAATGCGTGATCACGTCCAAACATTGGTGGTATCCGAATTGTAGTTCCTTAGGGGAGGATACCTAAGAAAAGATATTTTAAACGAGCTGAAGACATGATATTATAGCACTGTAAAAATTATCAACACAGGCACCGCGGGAAACCACGCCCAGGGATAATGCTGTAAGAAGCCGAAATGAATATTATGAAAAAGATGAATAGGAATAAAAATCATAAAACAGAATCTCAGAAAATAATTCCTCATTTAACTTTTAAGCATCTTCAGACCATTAATTATCAAAAATATCGAGAATAGATAAAATTATATTTTAATTTTATTTCTATATAAATTAGTCGTTTTCCAAAATCTTAATGGTTTTCAAGATTGTTTCATGTCTTATTTACATATAAAACTCTATAATGGTATGATCAAAGCACGTAAACTTTAATCAATGAATTATCTAAATGGGCTCAGAGTGTAGTGTATATACGGCACAAAAAAATTTCACGACGATGAATGTGTTTTGTGCACCCCATGGTGCTTTCGTGGCTTGCAAAGAACGAGTCAACTCAGGTACAGATACTTTGGCCAGAGGAACATAAATATTTAATGCAATTCGACGTACATCCCCCTGGGACAACATAACTTGTGAAATCGAGGAGAGCACGCTATACGAATTTGCCCATGAGTACCCTTCTACGATAAGCTCGACTTAATTTTATTGGCTATATGCAAAGAATATTGCACATATATTTTTTATTACATAGACCGCACCTTCAGTTGCTAAATTCGCTCACAAAAAAATTTAATCAATAGATGACAAATATTATTCACCTCTCTTATTGTTTGCTTCATGAATTTATTGATTGAGATTTCTTTTTTTTCCATTGATTTAATGCTTTGATTATTTTTAAGGTATTTTTTAATTAGAAAGTAGATATACATGAACATTAATCAAAAAATGTATGAACATGATTGTTTAAATGAAAGTTTCATTTGTGGAGTGTGTTTTTTTAATTTATTATGAAATATAAAGAAATAATTAAGTGCTCCTATAACCAAAAAAATACTTGACGAATTTTATGAAAAGTTTTCCAAAGTTCTAATGAATTCGTTTACTAAAAGTTGGGTGAATGTTTATGGAAAAATTTTCAAATTAGTCTTTTAAATATTTTTTAAACATAAGTTACCCAATGCTTGTTAGTTCAAAAAAATGAAGCACATAATACTCAACGAATTCCTTAGATATTTGACTTCTGATAGTTAAAAGAAGAAATTAATAATTATTCTCTAGTCATTTTCCTTTTATTGAAAATGAATGAGCATCTAATAAAAAATTAATGAGTTATTATTGCTTAATTAGAGACGACAATTTAGAAGCATAAGATAAATTGTGCAATTCATTTATTTGCAAAGTAAATTAAGCAATTTGAGCAATAGAGTTTAGTTTCATAGAATCAGGTGAAAGAGTATTCTTCTGGCACACCCATTCCGTGAATTCCACCGTACACCACCGTCAACGTCTTCTCAGCAGTATGAAAAGGAGCAAAGCGTCGTGTTACAACTTCTAGAATGTTACTTAGGAAAACATCATATCGGAGGCTTACTTAAACAAGCTCCCATGGGGTTTGCTTTACCAACTACTGTTTACGTAGGCTAATCGAAAAATCGTAAGTGGCTTCACCCATATTAACTACAACAAACGCATCAGCCTGTACAGTGAGAGTTAAATCATAAACTACATACATAAGAGTTTTCTTTTGCTATTCATCATGAACTTTATGTATACTAATAAAAATGGAATCCAACGTAAGTTTCCATGCTGGAAATAAAATGATCATCATTTCTTATTCCAGAGTAAATGACCGTTTGAATATAGAAGCACAAATTCTGAGCATGTCAAACCAATGAAAATGAAAATAAAAAATGACAGCTATCAGATATAGAAATATGATACATCTGGCTATTCAAGTTTTTTTTTCTCTATTTAAATATCGAAACGTCTGGGCTAACAGGTATAAAGCCTCTTAATCAATTCAAGTAATCTAAAAACACTTATAAAAAATGTAAAGGTAGAATCAAGTGCAATAATTATTTTAAAAAAATATTTAAGTCTCTGAATTATACTGTCACCGTACATTTAAAGCTTTCGAGATTATCTTGATTATATCATTCATGTTAATCTACTCATCAATTAGTACCTTTTTACTTCGGATCAAAGGAAGATGATTCGTAGTATAATAGTAAATAAGTTAAAATTTTGAAAAATCAGGTAGAGAAACTTTAGAAAATAAATGCTTTGTATGATGAGTGTCGTGACTGTATAAATATACACTCAAGAGAAATTAAGAATCAGTGCAAGTTTGAATGCAAGAAAAATATCTTTCGTTATCACGTGCCAATTAACGAGGGGAGTCAGATGGAAAAGGAAGGCTGTGAGTGTACACTGCGTTAATTAAATAAAGGATGTGGACCTGTACCTAAACTGAGAGTGAATCTGAGGCCAAAAGTTGGAGGATCGATAGAGCATGCAAATCCCCCGACAATGCAAAACGCACGGGGTTACAAACGAGGGGTGCCAGAGAGATTTAAATATTCATAATCTCGCTTAATAAGGCATTAGGCATTAATGGCAGGAGGTTCCCAAGTGTCCCAGGAGCTACTTCGCGATGAGAACGAGCCGGTTTTTCATGGGACGACAACGACGACTTTAGATATATAATACTACATATCACTGACATGCATGTACGTCCCACGGATTCCCCAGGCACGCTAATGCGTTTCGAGGATTTAATTATTCCATCCTTTTCCACGCTTCTTGACGGCATATGAATCGTATGCTAATTCAACGGACATCGTTAATAGCTCTCTGGTACTACCACGAATTTATTAGAGGCTCGATCAACCTATTGATTATTTCTCTCTTCTCTTGGATCAGCAGACATGAGTGCGACACTCTGCAAATATACATTCAACCTCCCGCCCTTTACAGTCGTGTTAATTCGTCTACAATGACGCCTCCAAACGTTTATGCTAATTAGTTACTTCTCTCTACCCTCATACTCTATTCACAACAGTTTGAAGGTAAATATAGACTTGATACAACGAAACTATTAGTTCTCGGTAACAATTATCGTATTTAAATAATTGGAGTAATTAAACTGAAAAAACACTTACAGTTTTTCGGCGAGAACTGCTAAATCTCCAGGAACCTGTGTGAGTCCTCTTTCGGAACAATCAATATCCTGTCCTTTGCAGGTGCAAGCCCATGGACATCGTACACCATTAAGATCTTCCATGGTGCCAGCATTTTCAAAGTCGTAACCACTGAGTCCTGTGCCATGTGAAGCTCCTCCCAGTACGGACAAAACAAGCAGCAGTCCCCAAGCACAAACTACTGAACCACAACTTACGCCCAAGAGGCGCATTGACCAGCTCGGAGCCATGGTTCGCGCAATAGTTAGAAGCTTCTCGTTGATGTTTCTAACAGTCTGATTGGAACCCTCGAGAATTTCGATAAATTTTCTGTGGCTCTTGTTGTTGCTGTTGATGTTATTACTTGATGTCCGCAATATATTCTCAGGAGGAATGATGACTCTGGTGCAAACGCTAAAGGGTTCAACACCAGTTGCACAACTCACTTCACAAACTGCACTAGAACTTGTACGAAATGCTACTCTCTCGATTCGGTCAGCACGAACGAGAGGATGTAGTGATGAATTTTCAAATGTGTTACTAGTTGAGTTGCTACTATCAGATGACTCTCGAATTTTGTCTGCAACTTGTTCTACACTGCGGTAGGTCTCTCTACGCAAATTAGAGTGAGCGTGGCTCTCCACACGCTCTGCCAAATCGACTGGATCGGCACGGCCTATACTTGGTTGCGGTTCTTCATTCACTGCATCTGCCTGGCCAGTTGGGGGGCCTTGGTCGCCCCCTTCTCGGCCGGGAAACCCGTGCGCGCGGACAGCAGTGTCCACCACTAACGGCAGCACCCGATCCTGCTCATCCCGCGACTGCAAGACTGGTGACTTTATCTTGATGCTGATCTTTGTTGATTTTTTACCGTACCCCAGAACAGGGTACGTTAAATGAGCACCTTCGTACGTCTTTAATCTTTAACCCTGCACTAAATCCAACCATCTATTTGTTGAATCGTTGTTTTATACAAGAGTTAGTTCACAACAAGCTTACTGCGATCACTAATTCTCACTTGTTCTCCTGTTAGAACTTTTAATTGAACAATGCAGTCATGTAGTAATTGTGTTGCAATTTTTTACAAGATATTCCGTTTTAATTTTTCAATGTTCTGTTTTGTGCCAGCATAACCTGAAAAAATATTGATAAAAATTATATATCTTCATGTTATTGATAGCTAGATTTAAAAAAATAAAAAACTTGTTATAATAGATTGTAAAGATAAATGCTGTCAGTATTTTTAAATGTATCATCAATTTAAACATTCCGTGAAAATTATAAAAAATTTTAATTAAAGTGTTTTAATTTTTTGTGGTAAATATTGGTTTTCTTCTTTATAAAATTATTATTGTTGATAATAGTATAAAATTTGAAGGAATGATAAAAAATTTTAAATCTCGTTTTTAGATAAAGCTTTTAGACAATTATCACAGTACTTGAAAAATAATCCAGATATACTTATGTAATTCCCGTAAAATTTTCTCTTATTTTTATTTTTAAATTCTATTCATTTAATTTTTTTTATTCATCGCATGAATGAATCTGACAATTCAAATGTCATAAACTGCTTTGAAGGATCTTCATTTTTTTATTCTGAATTTTCTGTCAATCCATTGTCATATCAAACTGACCGTATTTTATAGGAAAAAATATTTGATTGAGTTGATCTCATTTTCTCAGCTTATTTAAAGAAAGATTTATCGGTTTAATTGAATTCTAATTGTTTATTGATATGAAATGCATGTTTTTATACCTATTTTTGAATACTTTACTAATATTATTAAATCAATAGAACAAAAATATTAGAAATAAGAGTAGATTCAATCAAATGAATTAGTTTTGAAGAATCAAATAATTTGAAAAATGTTGAATTTACAGATGAATTTTAGTAGGAAATAAGGAGTACCAAAAAAACGAAAAAAAATTTACATATACAGTTCAAAAAAGAGGTAACATACATATCGAACCTAGAAAAAAATATACTTTCGTAGCACAATCAAAGCTTCGGATACATTCCAAGCACGCTCTGAGAGCTTCGGAGCATATTGGAATTTTTCTTCAGTACATACCCTAACAATTTTTATCTTTCTCTTTCTCCAGACTGCCTATACGTTGTCTGACAGACGGGGTATGAACAAACCTACGCATACCTTTCAAAGTTAAATCTACAAATGCCTACCTGTGATTTTACTTTTCAGAGAACATTTGAGCCGCATAACATTTGAGAAAAAGGTATTTGATTCAAAACAACAGAAAATACTAAAATTCTACAACTCCATTTTAATCATATTCTCATCAAGCGAAACTCGTAAATCCTATCTCTCCAAATTTTCCATTACATATCCCAATAAATTACTCAAATTTTTTTACTGTCTGGATTTCGGTTATACACTTGACTCTGCACAGAAAGAAATCGAAATACTTGGATTTACTATCATATTTTAAAGTCCTATTTAAACTTACATTTTACATATGTATTAGAAAAAAATTAAAATTAGACAGAAGTACATTTAGACAAAGCGGTTAAATTTAAATGAGATACCACCCTAATGTTAATAACAAAAAATTTTCGACAGTATACACATGATCAGATTATCAAAAGTACTCTGATGATTAAAATATTACTTTTTATTAAAATTTGGCTTAAACCTTATTTTATATGATTTCTTTGATTATTAAATTAGACCATTTAGAAGTTAATCCGAAAAGCATGTTGTAACTTACAAAAAACCCATCAGAATTTAATGTTTCATTTATTTTTGTAATGTTGCTGCATCGGAGCCGTTATTAATTGTTAATTATTTTTAACCTGTATAATGGAATCGTCAAAAGAATTTTTTTCCCCACTACAAAGATTTTTTGTCTCTCATCCTTGGACAAAAGATAATTCATTTATTAGTTCTACTGTACCTTTAAACATTTTACAGTATAATAGTTGAGTTTTTTTTTAACTATAAAAGATTGAACTATTTAATATCGATGAAATATTAATACATGATAATAAATTTTCTATTTGCATGTTTTAAAAAGTACACTGACGAAACTCAAAAATTTTCTCGTTATATTGAAATTATTTGTCTGATATACCAGAAACTGAATATTTATTCTCTCAAATGAAAATGATTACTATAGATACTTCAAAGGAATAATATATATATATATGTATATATATATAGCAAGAGAACAAAATAAATCAATTTCGAATGTATCCAATTAGGAGAGTTATCATGGATAAGACTGAAGTGCAAATAGAAGATGCAATAAGCATAAGCGTTTCTCTTGAAGTTGGCTGGAGGGAGGGATCGATAACTCGATTAGCAGTATGAAGCTGCCAACAGCGTATACAGTTAGGTGCTTCTGAGGGTCTGGTTGTGGCCTAAGTATAGCCGCAGTCTGTCGATGTACGTACACATTGCACGCAAAATATTCTCGAGCATACTCGATCGAATAATATCGCTGCGCTTGACTCTGATGATGAAGTTAAGGTGTTTGGGTCGAGAGGGAGTAAAACGTAGGCCAAAGGGTTATGATGTACTACCATTACATACCTGTTCTCATCTTGACAACTATCACTGTAGAGTCTACTAAAAGCAATAGAATTCTCTACTGTCATCCTACCACTTACTTTTGCATTAATTATCGGCGTAGTTGGCGAATATTAATTGGAACAAAGTAGCTTATTGACTTTTTTTCTTTCGTCAGTGTCTCAAGGGAGGACACACAAAGATCAAGGAGTTGAGAAGACTAGACGAAAGTTACTAGTGAGCACATATGTCTGAAAAAGAGCAGTAAGAAGAAGTAGAAGAAGAGGATGAGGAGAAATCGAATTTCTTGGATGGCTCCTGGTAGCTTTCTTGTGCCTAGATAGTAAGAAGGGAGTGGCAAGTTCAAAGAGAAATGTTCGTTTTCGGATTCAGTGGAAAACCTAATTTGTGAAAAGTCGACCGTCCAGGGAATTGTCTTCAATGGAATTCGCTAGAAATTTTTTTATTTGAACCCTCATTTTACTTCACTTGAAATTAAATGACATGAAATGGTACGTTCGAAAAAATCTTATTTTTTATATTCTTTATTTCTTGTGGAGATAAATTTATACTACAACACTCCTCTCGAGTAAATTGATTTATTAGAGTTCAATGAACGTAGTCAGCATTCCGCAGTGTATCATCTACACGATTGTACGCGAATCTAAAGCCAATTTGACGCTGATTCACTTACATATGTATGTTTCTCTCAACAGACTATCAATTCATAAATGATGTGAACACGTTTTGGCTAGGAATAACAAAGTGGTTTTGTTTCTTTTTATATAGATTGGCATGCAGTGCGATCAAATCGACTCCAAAAGGTAAAAACAACTCGGAAGACTTCTTCATAGATATTGAAATGCCGGTAAGGTCTTTTTTAACTACTTATATTGTATTTTTATCTTGTAGACATTCGTTAACTACCTGGGACAGGAATTTTTTGAATATAAAAGAAAGATAACTACTTATATACTAAGGAGTGTGTCAGAATCAATTGATTCAATATCCCCATGAAACGTTAACGTCTTTTCAGAAAATTTATCTGGTTTTCATTATAAAGTGGAATGAATAGTGGAATGGAAAAATATAAAATGTTGATAGAATAAATAATTATTTTGTCGAGTGGATATTTTAATGAATAAAAATATTCGATTTGGATGTCATTTTTTTTTATGCGATTATACTTAAATTATATAGAACTGGTTTGTATGTTTATACGATTACATGGGACATTATTAATGTCGATATAGAGATTTCTCGCACGTAATAAAGTTGGCCAGTATATTTTACAAACGTCGAGTTCATTTATAATATCATATCACTGAACACCGTTTCATTTATTAATTATTGTATACTAGTTATGTGCATATATATAAACGAGAATATTTCACTAACCGCGAGTATCCTACTACAAAATTACGCTTTATCCATTCGCCTTCAAATAGTATTATCACAATGCAATGCTTACCGTTAATACCAATTATTTGATTATCGTGATCAAAATGAGTGCATTTAAATTTAAAAAGTTTAATGTTCGTGAGAATAAACCCGATGGGAAAAGCTCAAATTACATCTTTGATAATGCAGGTTATTTGTACATAAAAATAAACATAGCAAAAAAGAGGGAAAGAACAAAAATAAAAATGGCAGCTACACATATGAGAATACACTGAGTGAAATAATGATCAAGCAGTCGGCACGCACATGCCAAAAGAGATGAAGTCGATCTCTTTGCCCCCGAGGGAGCCCGAAACGAGCGATTACGCCCCCTCACCTCATGCCTTTACTTTTCATAAGTATTATCTTGCTTTTATGCTCCTTTTATTGCTTTTAACTTGACGATTATTTCCAAGTCAGGCGTACGAGTCTTCTTTCGTGCACTGTGGGAGACGAAGCACCTAGTAAGGAATTTCAAGTTTACTTTGAAGACGAGTATGTTTAGACAACGTAAAACGTCTAATGGCCCAAGTAAAATGGATTTTTAAGACTCTTTTGTAGTGAAAGAAGAATGACTCGAAGATGAGTTAAATAAACGCGAATTTTCATTCAAGTGCTTGGTACTGTATTGTACAAATGATGTGATCGATTTGCAAACGCAAAATAGAAAAAGCAACGGAACTGGATACCGTCGATTAAACGTACAAAACGACAGAACGATGCATTTCTCACCACGACACGAATGAAGCTCCTTTCTAAAGATCTCAAGTTTCTCTCTTCGCTTCTCGTTCTGATCGTTTGAGGGGCGGTTACTCTGGGATATTAGGTTTCCCAATGTGGTTTTCAACCACCCACTCGATCGTCTGATCGGCCGACTTCACCCCCAGGGAAATCACACTAGATATGCCTTGAATGCTCTTCTCTGTCCCTCAGTCTTTCACCTCGAGTTTGAGAACTCTAATAGACAGTATACTCTTGGATAACTTGATCGAGCTTAAGTGAGATTATATGCAAAAGGAACACTTCTCTCTTCATAAGAACCAAATTAACGAATTAATGCTAGATTCAAAGCTACTACTATGTTGATTACGTTCTTGTACTAAATACTAGTGATATATCCGTTCAAACACACTCTGAATAGCTTTATACATTTCTTAACTGTTTTCA